TTTTTTTTTTTTTTTTTTTGTTTTTTTTTTTATCCTGACCAAATAGCCAACAGTTTTATCACGATACATGTTCGGAAAATTGATAATATGTTCTTTTGATACAATTAACCTAATAGAAATCGGTAGGTAATTTTCAACGATATAAATGCAGGAAACTATGTCAGTCTATATGTCAACATAGTCAATCTGATATTTACATCTTACCCCATTTTTTCCTTTAAATCCGTCTTATCTTACCTTATAGAATTAAAATGATGTAATTTTGAGTGAAATTAAAAATCACACTTATTTCGCTGGACCGGGACGCTTGAGTGAGATAATATGCTTTAGTAAGGTTACTTTAATACAGTAACTATATAAATAACAAAAAAAGGACAATTATTTCCAGGAGGAGGGAAAATGATGGCCTAATTAAAAGCTGTGTATCAAACTAACATGCTCTGTCTATGATAATAGCGATGATGAAAACTGTGGACAAACTCCTCACTAAAAATCCTTCCAGTAGAAACCAGTACACCTAAATCATGATGCAAAAGACCCAAACCCCAATTTTTGATTGAACAGAGTAGATTTAAACCCGCGCAAGTTTGCAAGACACGTGAAGTTCCCTTGTTAAAAAGGTTAAGCATCCACTACACACTTCGTACGGAAGTGCGCGTGCGCATCTCAAGGAGTTCCGAAAGTTCATACGTAACGTCACGGCAGAGCATTTTCTTTATAATGAGCTTAAAAGCGCGCCTGTAGCTAGAACTTTGGAACGCGTAGATAAAAGGATTCACTGAACAGTTCAACAGCGTGAGATACTGTGAGCCAGATTGAAGGTACAAGACATGAATGTGGTGTACTTTACTGACTTTTAAGATGAGCAGGACACCATAAGGAATAAAGGCTATGAAAAATACCACAGTCAACAAGATAAGCAATGTCACCAATCTTCTCTTTTCTTTCGTTTCCTCTTGCACGTGACCTCTTTCAATTTTTCTTCTGCAAGCAGCTTTCTTGAAGTACATGGCATAGATGATCTGAGTGTAGCAAAAGGCGATCACTACGAATGGAACCAAGGTGAGAATGACGATCAGGCAGTCAATGTAGATCATCATTTCATAGTCTGCATCACCATGACTGCAAGAACGCCTGTTTGGATCGTGATCTAATGTTGCAAACAAAGGAATCACCATCGCTATGGCAACTAACCAGATTCCAATTATGACGTAAGCAATCTTGTTAATGGTGAGTCTTCGAGATATGAGCATTGGTTTCACCAGAGCATTATACCTCTCGAGGGCCAGGACTGTAAGCGTCAAACCAGTCACCAGAAGCGTTATAATCGAAATAGTGTTGGTGTAGATGAACTTACAAAGGAAACTAGCAAGTGCTCTGGAATAGACCGGACCGTTTCCTTTCATGACTATAAACAGGATTGCTGTAAATACGAGGGTAGTGATGTCTGCACAAGCAACGTTGACCAGAAGGTAGTTGGTGGTTGTTCTCATGCTGCGAAACATCTTCACAACTGTAATGACAAGTGAGTTGCCCATAAAACCGACGACGATGATGAGCCAAAATGTCACCACCTTTATAACCTCTTCTGTCTGGTTTACATGATAAGGTGCCCCCGTTGGCCCAGTATCGTTTGTAGCGGAGCTGTAATTGAGGAGATCGTTCATGCCTCCGTTTTATTGTGCTTCTTACACAAAATTGAGGATCGTGTCAGGCAAGTGTCGGGCCAGTCTATTCTGCACAGAGGAATAAACGAGAAAGAAGCAATCAATACATTGGGACATCAAACCACCTACTTGACGAAAAGGAATAAAACTCGTCTTTTTTTTTTTCTTTTTTTTTCTTTTTTTGTCAAGGATTTCTCCACGAGCTATCTATTCCCTCTCTGACGAGAAATAACGAGGTGTAAACCTTGCGTGAGTGTAAAGACACGTTATGATTCCATAAAATGATGGTAATGTTACCGGTATTTAGCATTCTCATAAACTTATTTTGGCCGCACGAAATGGATTCATAATTTAAAACATTACTGAATTACCTTATAGTCACAATTCCATCCTTAAAACAACTAAATTCAAGTTCTTTCAGATTAAATATGAGGAATTTTCTCCAAAAGTATTACTGGATGCTATTATACGTAATAAGCCGACTAGAAAACTATTGTGAAAAGCAGTTTGCCAGTTTTATTTTTCTCAGGACTAATTAGAGTGCAACATCAACTATTTATTTACTATGTGCTTACTCTTTCTTCTCTTATACTAAGTTTTCATATAGTAAGTTTTCTTTTTATTCTAAAATAAATAGATTATATTAAAGTACATATAGTTTAAGTTTACTATATAATTGCCTTTTCTACTATCCTTTCATCGCATTTGTTTTAGCACTGTTGTATTTCAATCTTAAAGAGGAGAAAAATAATCTAGAAATGCAAATAATAGTCACAAGTGAAGGTGCATTATAACCCTATACGTACAATTCACGTGTTACAATCTAAAACAGCCATGTATTTTGTGTTACATGCATACACACATACATAGATGCATAAACTTTATTTCAAACTGCTTATAATCATCTTTCTTTTAGCCCTCGTAGAAGGTTTTTTTTTGAAAACCAAAATACTGGGTCATGCACTTCAAAGTCGCAAATCGTTGCAAGGTTATGATTTTCGACACGATTGTTCAAGCCACGAAACACACAGCTTTGGAGTATTACCAAGCGGTATGTACGCAATGCGGACCCTCCTTGAAGATCGGAGCAACAGCCGGAAACACGCCTCGCTCGCTTTCGCAGGCTATATTATTATAGTAAGATCCAACTCTTGGGGTTGGGGCAAAGGGCGAATTGTAAAGCTAAATTAAGAATGACCTACCAGGTGATAAGTGGGGAAATATATGCAATGAAGGGGAGGTCGACAAAGACAAGTTTGACACAAAAATGTCACGTATGATTGGCCTGATTCCTATTATAAAATGGCCAGCTGTGCGAATACATTTCTAAAGCAAATAGCGGCTTATCTCTACCACTCAGTGCGCGATGTGTTTAACATTTCAAATCAAACAACAAACCTACTATGAAAACCTAAGACGTTATCTGATTTCGTAGAGTATTTAAGTAACGCCATTTCCTTAAATTATCTTTTAAATTTGGAAAACAAATCATACGCCAAATTAATTTTAGCATGCATGAAATGAGCGTTCTTGTAAGGTTTGGTTTACAATTTCTTTCAATAACTTTGATTTCAAC